TTGGACGAGAAATCATCTGTCCGAGGAGAGGGGATTAAGTAAAAAGAAAAAAAAAAAGTAAAAACAGGAGAGAAGAGAATGGGTTTTGGTAGGGTGCGATAATAAGCTTGGCGTTGTGCAACAACGCGTCGTGCAACGCGATAATTATCGTACGGTTTTACTGTTCGTCCTTTTGGAAGTGGAAGTGGAAAGGTAAAAGGGGAATAACAATGACTCGTCTCTCGCCAACCGTTTTTCTCACCTTTATGCGATCTTCTAGTTATCTTCTGGCTCCCGACAAATCGTCAAAAAAAGCGAACGTTGAAACAGATCCGAGGGATCCTATTTTACGTTACGTTACAGTTACGTTATCCGAGTGTACTAGCAAAACCGAGGACACGACGGTAATCCTCTTCCTTCCCACCCTCCCCCCTACCACGACATTGCACGAACGAGAGTAATGCTATTCGCTTTAATCGTGACGTTACTCTCGTGAGAGAATCGCTTTTGTTGGCTCCTTTAAATGCCGCTTCGTGAATCGATCCAGAAGAGAAGAAGAAGAAGAAGAAGAAGAAGAAAGTACAAGGAACACGAAGGGATCTCGCGAGTATCTTCGCTCTTTCGCGAACCTTTGCAGTCACGATCCAGAGCAAGCACCAAGACACGATCCTCACTTTAGTCTACAAAGAGAAATTGCATCTTTAGAGATTCTTTAAATATTTCCCTGCAGGATCCATCTACTTCTCTTATCTTCGTTGCTTTTTATCTCTTTTTGTTTTTTTAATCAAATTTCGTTTCATAAGACAACAACAGGTAAAATCTATTTGTTTTTTTCTTCGTTTAAAAAGAAAAGAAATGTTAGTGCAACGAATGTTGAAGATTAACGCGCCATTATGGGTATCCGATTGTGAGATCCTTAGGTAGGAGGGCTATAGAAGATAAAATGTTGAGCCATATACGGGCCAGTGGGAAAGTGAAGAGCGAAGGTTGGTGCTGCTGGCGCTGGAACCGGCAAACCTCTCTCCTCTCGCTCTCTCTCTCGGTTGGTTAAGCAGCCCTCGTTTTTGTTGAACGGCAGCCCGACAGCGGCGTTTCTCTGCCGTGTTCGAAATCAAACCTTCTTCCCTCTTCCTTAACTCGTCCTCGTGCTAGAGATATACGGAGGATATACGAAAGGAGTAGAAACGAGAGAGAGAGAGAGAGAGAGAGATAGAGAGAGGATCCACGATATACCTTAATATGTTTCTCCTCTCGCGAGAGACCAAAACCATCGGAACTGCGATCACGTTCAACTTTACCGTTAACTCGGACATATTCTTCATCTTCTTCCTCTTCAAACTATCTCTCTCTCTCTATCTCTCTCTCTTACTTTTTTTTTGTTCACGCATGCGTCTTCTTAAATATTTTTTTTTCCATTTCTTCTTTCACGCTTCTTTCCTACGGGATTCTCTTTTTCACTCCATTATCGCGTAATCCAAACCAAAAGAATAACAACAACAACAATAACAAGAAAAAAACAGGAAAAAAAAATGCACCATCGATGAACGATCGATCGATCCATCTCTCTCTCTCTCTCTCTCTCTCTCTCTCTCTCTCTCTCTCTCTCTTTTCAAAACATAATCCCGTCTCATCGAAGTACCTGAATGCATCTCTCTGGACCGACACAAATCTTCTTCGGACGGGCGATTTTATCTTTGCTACTTTGAGTGGAGAATTTTAAGGGATCATGAGAGAACATTTCGAGCATCTCTTATCTTTATCTTTCTTTCTCTCTCTCTCTCTCTCTCTCTCTCTTTCTCTTGCTGTTGGAATTCGACCGTGGTGCAGATAACGTCTCTCGTCGACGCTTCGAGATTTCTCTTAAAAGAATTCAAGGAAATACGAGACGCAAAGTATCATAGCTATTAGATTACTATGCATATGTAAGGGATTACCTTGAAAGCTCGTATTAATTCGCCGACGAGTGTATTCTCGCAAATCTCTTTCAAGTTTATATTTTCTTTCACTTTGAACAATAGTTTGCAATGATAAAAGCGACGAAAAGCTATAAAACCATACTGCAAAGTATATTACACTTATACACGTAACAATAAATTATTTTACGATGTTTGCTACCAGTAGTAACTATATACAATATATATATAAATATAAATATATATATAGATATACTAGATACAAGGATTAGTTTAATAGCTGCTTTTACAACTCCTCCCACGTAGCGGCAAATAATCTCTGACAAGTGTGCAGTTCGCATTTCATGAAAACCTTTTATAGAACAATTTTCCATTCGATGCGGCCAACGAAGCGCATGCCTATTTAATTTACCATTTCCATTGCTAAACGAAAGTAACCTACGTTTAAACTAATAATAATATAGCAAACCATCTATTACGAGATTTTTCTAGTGATTTTTCTTCGAAACTCAACTAAAAGGAAGTTAATTTCATTCATTGTATACTTCCCTAATACATAATTTCGATTAGATATTTATGCTAAAGTTAAAGTAAATATCGCAAATATTGATTATATTAAAAGAAAAAGAAAAATATAAAAGGGAAGGAAGAATAATCAGAGTAATAATAAGGAATAGAGAAAGAGAGAGAGAGAGAGAGAGAGAGAGAGAGAGAGAGAGAAGCGAGAAATGGAATGGAGTGGAAGCATTCACCCGCATACAAATTGGTTGTTTTTGCCGGTCGAGTTCGCGTCTTGAACGGCACCTACGGTCGACTTGTGCACCAGCTACTACTACTCACCGAAAAACCGGATACTCTCGAATACGACGACTACAAGGGGGTTCTCGCGTTTTGTGGAAACAATCAGCAGGTTGTCGCGAAACAAGGATATGAATGCATAAGCAGCGCAGTTAACACGGTTGCTCGCCGTGTTCCCTCCGAACCTTTTTGCTCCGGTTTCTCCCTCAAAAGATGCCGCTTCTATACACGAGAAAGGGACAGAATGAACAGGCCCAGGTAGAAGAAAGGGAATAAGAGGAAAGCCCAAACAAGAGGATGGGAAAGGTCTGACAGAAGAGACCACGAGAAGCGAAAGTAGGCACGAGGAGGACTCACGACGAAACAGCAGCAGCAGCAGCAGCAGCAGCAGCAAGAGGAGGAGGAGAAGGAGGAGGAGGAGGAGGAGGAGGAGGAGGAAGAATTGCCCCGCTGTATCCCGACTTTCGACTTTTTTTCCTCCTATTCGGAACTCTTCACCGGCATCCACGGTATTCTGCGTTCGACCGTCCGGTACTCCTCGTCAAATCCTTTTCTTCCTACCACTCTCTTCGAAGTAAGGATATTTCGGGCTTTCTTGCCAGACGGCCAGATGACTTTTAATTTATTTACTTCGATCTCTCTATCTCTTTCTCTCATAGTTTTCATCTTGTTTTTGTTTTTCTCAAATCATCTTGCATCCCGTTCTCGCATTTTGTTCGATTATGCAAGGATTTCAAAAAAAAAAGAAACAAAAACACTCGAAAGAATGTGATCAAAATTAACTTTAATTCGTACAGAAAAGAAGAACAGGACACAACACACTCTTTTGATGTTTCATCTCAACTGAAAAATGTTGGAGTAACTTATACCTTTGACGATTTAAATAAAATAAAATAAAATGAAAGGGATGAGAATTGTTTTTTTTTTTTTTAGTCACGAACAACACGAGCAACGTTTGTTTCCTTGTACGTAAGTGTTACCTTTAACGTAAGAATCGATCGTAATTAATAGCAATGGTCTTAACGAGACATCGGGTAATCAGACTCTCCTTGGTGAAACTTTGCTTGACGTCATTTGTTTAAGTTGATCGTTCCTTGTCTCTCCTCCAAATAAGGCAACTCCTGTTTGCCACTCCACGGGGAGTGCGAAAGAACAAAGAGGAACTCGTGAGTTCCACGAGGGGTAGGTAGCCTTTGGCTAGAGTTCTACACTACACTACGTATGTGTATACGTGCGCACATACGAATAAACGAAAAGAGAAAAGGAGAGAAAGACGACAGACAATAAAGAAGAAGGACTTGAGAAGAACAGACACCTGCTGTTCTTTCTGCTTTGTCTTTCTCGTTTCTTCCCCTCTTTTCACTTTTTCTTCTTCTTCTTCTTCGTCTTCTTCTTCGTCTTCTTCTTCGTCTTCTTCTTCTTCTGTTTCCACACCTTCGATACCTTGGTCTCTGAAATACCTCTCTTTCTTTCTACGGAATAAGAGAAGGCAATCCTTCTCACTACGAGAAACAATCGCACGCGCAAAAGGACCAAGTTTGTAGAGGGGTATACCTTCGAAGAAACAGAAAACATGCTCTTTTCGTCGGTCGATCCTTTAAAAGTCCTTAGGGATAGATATTCGAATAGGCTTTTTAAAATCCTTCAAATGTATGATGGCCTTGGGGACAGATCGCTTTCTATTATAAGGGTTTGTAGGATAGTAGGCGTGCATTCGTGTGTGTGTTTATATGGATTATCGATAAGAGGGCGAGGGAATGTTTCGAGTTGGATGACCGTGACAAAATCAGACCCCTGCTAAGGTATGTGACAAGCAAACGGTCAGGTAGAGTTTTTCCTTGGTCGAGTAAGCTTATTGTTAGATTGAACACAGATGCAGTAAATATCAAATTATAAAACCACATGGAACTTGAAATTATTATCTAACAATAAGACCCTCAATTTGGAGTAAATTATTTACAAATATCAAAAGTATAAGATCAAATGTTTCTATACGTACATAACACGTATACTTATTACACATACGTTGGAACATATACGATTACAAGGTTTTTGATGATCCAATTGGATCCGATCCAGTGATTCGAGTACCATATAAGCCACATAACTCGAACCCTCTTTGCGATAGTTATTGATTTACACGCGTAACATCACGTGGTAAGATAATCTCGGACTGTCGTCGAGATGATTTATACTGATTGCCTTTTGTGAAAGCAAAGCTTCATTTGATTTTTGCCGAACAATAGGCGAGAAACTCTTGTTCTTATATTATCTTTATTTTGTTTTTCTTTTCTTTTCATTATTTTTCAGATCATTGTCATCGAGTTTATCCTGACACAGGACATGCAGCACCGAGCCCGGTGAAAAAAAGACAGCTGCTATGGCAAGAACAACGCCGAGAACAAGTATTCGAGCCACCACCGATCATTTTCATCCTCACCCTCGCAACTATCGAAAACAACAACAACACGAACAAGAGGCTTGCGTTTTCAAGGTCACCTTGGCAAGGCCCTCGACCTCGTGGATGGCATGAGAGCTCATCATGTTCATCAACCACCGACACTGGCCACGAGCGCTGTCGACATTCAACATCTTCGGGGTGACATTAATTCTACTAATCGTCCTCAGCTATTACAATGTCTCCGCGGATCTTAATTCGGAGTTCGTTAAAGGGAAAAGTAAGTTTTTCTTTGCGACCATATTTGCATTAGCGACGAAGTCTGAGAACAGCGTTTAAATTTTAGTAAAAATATAAACGATAATCACACGCTATTTTATAATATTAATTGTTCATTTAATAATACAAATCATTTTCATAGAAAATAAATCATCAAATTTAGAATTATATACCATATAAAGGAAACATATTTTGATACAAATTTCAGCAGGACACGTTGTATAGATTATGAAAGAAAATAACGCTATCGAACGAGGTTCGTTAATTTGTTGGCTTCGAGGTGGTTTTTCGAGGAACGTTTTAACATCGTGCAGTATAAATCAACTACGTCGTTGGAAATACATCTAGAAAGGAAACTATTGCGGCAGAGGTCTATCCGCGTGGGTGGGTTGCTTGCCTAGACGAAAGGGTCTCTTTTATTGGGAAGTAGGTACTTGGAAAGTACCGTTTCTCGTGAAGGAGTAAAATCTCACGTTTCTTTCTCTCTTCCTTCCTTTTTCTCTCACTTGGTTTGAAGAGTTTTTTTTTCCTTCTTCTTCTTCTTCTTCTTCTCGAGTTTGGTTAAACGAGCGTAGGTGCAGACACGCACACAGCAGCAACTTCACATTCAAATATATAAGTTTTTTCAATCGAGCACGTGCCTGCCGAGGACTTGACCCACATTGACTGCTGAATGCATAAACACAAACATACCACCCCCAGTTCAGAAACTCACCACCACAATATTTTTCATCAATTGGTAATTAATTTCTTTGTTAGTATAATAAATAACAACATATATCAATCTAATTATATAAATTATATACACACAAATTCGATTAATAATTGATTTTAAAATAAACATGATACAGATTGTAAGAAGAATTTCTCATGGTGTGTAACTACCATGGAGTGATCAAAAAGTGCGACGTGGTGTGTCTGTGCCGATAAAGACTCTCAAGAAATTTTTTCGAGTACCATAAGCGAGCTGCTCTCTCCATCACCGATATCGACTAAAGTGCTTTCCATAAACGTGCCTATTAAAACGATAACATGACCGTTCACTCTTTCATAGCCATTAAACTAATATAGTAAGATGCGAGTTACGCGCCTGTTTGCTTGCTTGCATGCCTTCTTCCCCGTATATTCAATCGTTTCATTGACATGAAAAACTTTGACGAATAAATTTCTTTATATTTAAACTTGACTTCTTTCTTTCTCTTATATATACACACATGCTCGTTTGACATAAACATTTTATTCAATTTTTCCCCCGTTTTTTTTTTCTTTTCTTTTTTATTATTGAATTCCCTATAGATTACATTTATTGAGATATTCGGAAAGCAAAAAGGAAAGAAGGGAGAAAGAAGTGTATCGCAAAGAGATACCACGAGGAGAAAGAAGAAGTATGAAAAATACAAAGGAAACGTAATATCGTTCCGGTGGACATCTCTATCAAACTAAAGCATATATGTACGTACTATGTATGTATACTGGATCGAAGAGGAGACATCTGGGAGGCATGCCTTAATTGACCGTTCGGAATATTGACGAGATCCGAGAGACGGATTGAGACGTTGAATTTCCAAGGGACGCTTGCTCGCTCGCTCGCTCGCTCGCTCGCTTTTTTCCCTTCGAATGAAATATGACCGCTCAATATGCTCGGCAGATATTTATGTACTCGTGGGATTGCGTGCTCGTTCGCCCTCTCTTCTCTCTTCTCTCTCTTCCTTCTCTGAGATCAAAGAATATATACAAGGGGAGTAGAGGGGATTGCTGATACAACGTAGGAGAAGATCTTCCTCCCTTCCTACCTTTCAACATCTACCTCTAGTCAACATGTCTGTGCGGTATAACAAAGTCCAATCTTAAGATGGTACCCGACAAAAAAATTCATCCTTATACGCGCATAAGCAATCTTACTTAAAATACGTTCCTTCCTTCCTTCCTTCCTTCCTTACTTACTTTCATCCCTTTTTTATTATTCACGACCATAACGAAGTTGGATTAATAAATATCAAATAAATAATCAATTTAATTATAATCGTTTATCATCACAGGAAAATTCTTACCCATTCGAAGACTGAACTTTTGTTAAATGTTTTATTATATATATATATTTATATATGTGTACCTTTATTTGATCATCGGTGCTGAAAGGTTTACTCAACACTCACTCTTGATCTGTCAAATTTCAAATCCTCAACTACGTTCTAACAGTTCTTTCATTCGACATAATTTATGTCACTATAATTAAACAAATATAATTAAAATAATTAAAAAGTATCACAATTGACAAAAATACATTTATTCGTTGTTTTTTAATTTATTTCTAAAAAAATAATATCTAAAATGAAATAAAATCATTTGATTGAAAAGAAAAATATAATCGTATAAAGATTTAATCGAATATCTCGTTTTAAAATGAAATGTATAATTTGAATATACTGTAGTTACCTAATATTGTTGTTACACCTTCCAATGCTCGAAGGAGACTGACAATAAATACATTAAAAGCTACGAAATGAAATCGAACAACACCGAACATACACGAAGGTCAATCACGGTTACTAGTTCGATAACGAATTCTTAATAGAATAAAAATGATAATAATAGCATGCATAGACTACCCGAAGGGTAATGCATGTAAAAACAAAACATAGACGGTCCAGAAAGCATCGTTTCTATGAATTTAACTTCTACCCACCTCTTTCCTTCTTGGTCGTTGTTCTTCTCTGTTTCCGAGAAGACGTGTTTACTTGTACGTGTTTAATTGTATAATATATTAATTTCCGAATAATTCAATACTTTTGATTTATATATATACTTACATATGTAAATCATAAAATTTTTAAAAGATATTTTTAATAAATTTTATTTTTCAATTGCTTAAGAATAAATCGAAGGTTAGTGTATTTATCATGTTGTCCATCGTTATTTTATGAAGAAACGGACAACATAAAAACACAACTGTAGCATATGGAATCATTTTAATCTGACTGCTAACGAACATGACACGTGCCGGTCTTTCTCGTTAATGGGGTTTTTAAAGTCGATTCAATTAAACCGGAATTCCAAGGAGCAATCACTTGTATACGAGGCATAATAGTCGTTGCCGAGTCTTATTAATCATTTTCACCCGCGGACTTTCGTAATTTACCCTAAGGCTTAGTTTCGTACTTGTGACGAGAGCAAAGAAGAGAAGAAAGGACGAAGAACGAGGAGAAGAAAGAGGAGGAGGAGGAGGAGGAAGAGGAGGACAGCCCTGAAGGAAAAAAAGAAAAATAAATGAAAATTAGAAACAGCTTATTATACAGTTACGAGAAAGAAAACTATTTTCACGAGTATATCTTTAAAAAAATGTACCAATTAACGTGTTTCTGTGTCTTGGTTCAAACCAGTACTGTTATTTGATTCAAATCAAACGGAGGAAACACTGCTATGAAAAAATCACATTGAAATTTTGTAAGATAAAATTCGATTGAAAGTAGGACAAATTTTGAAGTGATTTGAAAATCAAACGATAGATCGATCGATAAATCATATAATATGTCATAGAAAGAATTGTAATTCGTGTCATCGATCGATCAGGTTTTGGAAATGTGTTGAGAAGTCATGAAAAATTGAAAAAAAAAAAATGTGTATGACTATAGGTATCTTACTAGCTCGACTCTTTCGCCATAACTCGAACAGTTTGATAGATGGTGAACATCGTTCGTTCTAACACAGGCACCGGCAGGTCTCGAAACGAAATGTGGGTGGGTGGATGACGAGGGTAAGGAGCGAGTAGGTGGAATTTTTCATCGATCGTAAATTCGGAAAAATTCAAGAAGAAAGAAAAATATATAAGAAGAAGAAGAAGAAGGTTGTACGTATATACTTTGCGTATATGGGAGAGAGAGAATGAGAAATATAAAAAGAGAAAAGAGAAAGAAATAAATAGATAGACACATATACATAGATGGATACACAGAGAGAAAGGAAATAGGAGAAGAACAGGTTTATATAGAGAAAGGAGTACTACTAGAGAGTCTCTTGATTTTGTAATACAAGATAAAGAGAATATAACGTTCGTTGCCAAGAGCAAAAAGAAATAAAGAAACGAACTTTAAGCGATACGATATTCTTCACCGTACCTATACATACATAGATACATTGTATATATATATAATTAAATACGCCTTGTATTTTCCTATTGCACGGATTAAGTTCCTTATTCTCTCTCTATCGATTATTTTTTAATGCAAAACTATCTTAATAACTCCTTACATTCGGGAAATTATTCTGGATCATTACACGGCTTAATTTGTTAATTCGAGTGCCAATAGGAATATTATTTTCAAAGTTACGAAGCCCAATAATATTGGGATCTCTAGCACTTGAATACGCTATCTGGTGGCTAAATTCAAAATTAGAGTAGATAGGTCGAATTGCTACGCCACGCCCCTTGCTAGAGATCCCAATATTATCGTTCGCAGGAAATCTTTAACAACGTTGTTGGTGCACATATTAACATTCAATTGTATTTCCTTTCTCGTGCATAGATGAGACTTCAATCGTTTAAAAATCTACCATCATAATATACGATAATCTACTTCTGTAACTAACAAAGCAATGATCTTGTTCTCGAAAAAGAGTTGTCCTAAAATTAAAAAAAGATCAAGGCCAGGTGTATCATAGTCGAGCAAAGACCAAGCGCGAGAATTTTTTGTTAGGAAATGAACGTTCCACGGTCTGGTATCTCTGTATTAACTCCTTCTTTTTGTCGGAGATGTTTTATTATACGTGTGTGTGTGTGTGTGTATGTGCGTTGTTGTCCTTTTAATTGGTGTCCATTTAATCATCAGCTCTGTTAAATCTACCTCCTGCATTCCAAGAGAATAGAACATAGGTATATAGTCATTTTCTAAGGCGTGGTGCAGATTATTTATAATTTCATAATGAAACGTTTTATTCTTCTTTATTGATTTGTCATTTCTTTTTTAATAAAAAAGAAAAGAAAAGAAAAATAAGAAAGTACAA